ATCATTCTGTGTCGAAGGCGCTTACAATGGGATGTCCTCAGGGATCGGTGCTAGGTCCATACTTGTGGAATATCGGCTTCGACGATTTTCTTGCGATACCAATACCATCCGGATGTATTCTAAACGCGTATGCTGATGACGGCTTATTACTGGTCTAATCTGATACTAGGGCGGGACTTGAGAGATCAGCCAATAGATGTTTGAACTTGATATCTCAATGGGGTGAACGTAATCGCTTAACTTTTGCACCCAACAAAACCTTCCAGCTACTTTTAAAAGGTAACCTCAAATCACCGCCAAGCATTAGATTTGACAATGTAACTGTAAAAAATAAAACCTCAGTGTGTTACCTAGGATTAGTTTTAGAAAGAAACTTTTCATTTATCGAACATATTAAAATAGTTAATGAAAAGTCCAAAAAGAGTTTCTGTGCATTGACAAGGATATCAACTGCGACATGGGGTCTATCATTTAATACATTAAAGATCATATACGGAGCTACTTATTTAGGTTCTATGTGCTATGGTGCACCTGTATGGGCCGATAGGGCGACCGTAGGCGCTGTCCGTCGCAAACTGTTACAAGGCCAACGACTTGCACTGATATTCTTGTGTAAGGCATATAGGACGGTTAGCACTAAGGCTTTGCCGGTGTTGGCGGGTGTGCTTCCGGTCGATCTCGAGGTGCAGAGACGTGCAGCCATGTACTATTCAAGACAGCAAAACATGGAATGCGATTTTTTGGGCACGCGGGATCGCGGTAAAATTACAAGATTGCTTCAACAGCAGCCCGATGTCTATAATGACCTCATAGACGAATGGCAACAACGCTGGGATGAATCATCCAAGGGGCGCCATCTTTACCAATTCTTTCCATCTGTTCGCGAACGGTTGTCGAGGATATGGCTTCTGGTTGTCTGGATATGGTTGTCTTCTTTAGACTGGCTACCACCCATTTTGACCTTGTATATTGGCCGAAATTTCGTAAACGATGTAAGATACCGGTCTTATATACCGCACAAAATGTTCTGCCATCGCGACAAATAGAAATTCGAGTACTCTGTATCTTAACGGACCACACAGGACGCGCGCACGCGCCTTTTATGGCAGGGTCGCTATGTGACGTTGGGAGTCTATGTAAATAATACTCAGTTGAATGTGAATGCAAGACTGACTATAATTCGAATCAATACATTGTTTTATAGTTTCTCTTATATCTATCTTACATCTACTACATCACATCCATCTGTTCGCGAACGGTTGTCGAGGACATGGCTTGAGGTGGATCACTGTGTCGCTCAATTTCTTACGGGTCATGGTAACTTTAAGAGCAAGCTTTATTCATTTAAATTAGTCGAGTCACCATTGTGTCAATGCTCAACACCTAACTCTCACTATGAACAGTCTGCTCATCATATCCTCTGGGAATGTAGTCTTTGGTATAATGAACGTAATATAATGCTGAATAGCTTGCAGGTGACATCTGGGGCGGTATACTATGGGGATCTTGTGTCAACTAGGGTGAATTTCCGTGCGTTTAGGCGATTCTGCCATACATATTATAGAAATCAAACATAGCTCACGTAGGACCCGTAATATTTGTGGCCGTGGTGCTTCCCTGTTTAAAAGGGTGTATGCCCATTTTACGTCATTTTGTCTCCCACTTTGCTAAGGAGGGAAGTGGATTTACTGTATTTCCAACTCCTCCAATTTGATTCTGATTAATTTCGTTGCGGGTTCCAAGACAGTTTAATTTCTTCCTGGGACTTCCCGAGTGTCATAACTCGGTGTATTCGTGGGTCACTGCTGTGGATCCTGGTGTACAGGAGTTACAGCGGTGGGCGTGTGGGTGGGATTAGTCCCATAAAAAAAAGTCATGTCTGATTGTTCATTTAATAATAAAAATTATAACTTTTCTGCCAGCGTAAAAGTAATGTGGTGTTATTGTATGATACTTAGGCATTAACTATACAAAATTTGAAAGCAATCCTATATTTGTGAACAGAGTTATATCAGATTTTTCGTCGAATCGTTCAATTTATCGTAAGTCGTGTCTGATTGTACATTTAATAATAAAAATTATAACTTTTCTGCCAACGTAAAACTTATTTAGTATTATTGTACGTCTCTTAGGGATAAACTATAAAAAATTAGGAAGCAATCCTATTGTTGTAATCAGAGTTACATTAGGTTTTTCGTCGAATCGGTCAATTTATCGTAAGTCATGTCTGATTGTTCATTTAATAATAAAAATTATAACCTTTCTGCCAACGTAAAAGTAATGTGGTATTATTGTATGATACTTAGGCATTAAATTTACAAAATTAGGAAGAAATCCTATTTTTGTGAACAGAGTTATATCTTTTTTTGTCGAATCGTTCAATTTATCGTAAGTCGTGTCTGATTGTTCATTTAATAATAAAAATTATAACTTTTCTGCCAACGTAAAACTTATTTATAGATGTCGACTCATATAATAATGATCGAACTTCACTTGAGAAGTTCGTTTGATCATCTATTATATTTCGTCGCTTCATTCTTCAGATACAATATAAATCCATACCAAGTAGATGTTTAGAGAATTAAGTTTTGTTCCAATAAACATTCAATCACTGTATGGGTTATTAAGTTAAAGCCAAGATATTGTTCAATCAGAGGCTTTTATTTAAACAAAAATACTTTAATAAAGATATTTCGTAGATAAAATCGAGCAAAGGATTCAATTTTTTTGCTTTGCGCATGATTTTAAATATTTAATGATTCTAATCAGTTAGGAAATACTACTGTATTGGCAAATTCACTCATTTTTTATAGGCCTATTATAAAAGCGAGCAAAAGTAGTGGGCGCACTAGTCCATCCTGCTGTCTTTCGAATTACGTCCAAATTAAGTCCGGCGGAACGGCAAGTGCTGTGTGCGTTATAAGTACTCATGTTCACACCGCTTTCTGAAAGCACTTACTTTATCCAACTTCTTATTGATTGGGAACCGGCAGGTTAATGTGGCTTCTTAAATGTCAATATGAGCGAGCCTGTGTTCGTGTCCCTCTGATCTTTTGTCATAAAAATGTAATCTCTGAGGGTTGTAACTGGATATTTGTTAAGGTTTGTGTCGAAGTATGGCAGAACTAAAACTGGATGGTCACCCCCGGGTGCGGAGGTTTTAGTTATATCCGTAATGGCTATCTTAGCTCCGATTATTGGAAAGGTAATGTTGCCGAGTTGGATTAGTGATAAGGTTTGTACCCGGTGAACTGTGCAAATAGCTTCTTTGAGATTTTTTCGAGGTTAAGATGCCAATTTGGGTACCAAGAAGAAACTAAATTAAGACCTAATTGTGGATCCCACGTTGAGGTATACTTCGGTCGATTTGGCTTTAACGTGTGTGCTCCTTTTAGCAAGCGCTTAATTAATTCGTTAGATCTAATGTTCTCAACTAGGATTAAGGATAGCGCCGAACGGTGACTGTTAAGAGAGCCATAAGAACATCCTCTTGTAAATTGTTCTGTCAAAAATGACAAGACAGATGACACCGAGCAATTAAAACTATTGATATTGTGTAACTCACAGAACTGCCACCATAGTTTAAGTGTTACGTTGTACTGGTTAACGGTGTTGTCCGACAGGGATGCTAGCATTAAGTCGAGTGTCTCTGGTGGCGTGCCGTGGCGCATGAGTGCTGCCCTGATAATCTCGCGTCACCTAGGATAAGTTTGTGGTGGAGAGGATGGTACTTTCTGAAATTAGATTGTAATAGTGACTTATTCGGATTGAAAAATATAATACGGGAGTCAAGAAGACTTTGTAATAGGGAAAACCAAGCCTGTGTAGACCTGTATGGAAAAACTAGGATACCAGTTGCCTTATCATCAATTATTTTTCTTAAGCATTTTAAAATGAGTGAAAATGGAGGAAACGCGTAAAAGTATTTTAATTGCCAATTTATGGTAAATGCATCTACGGTGTGAGAGTCTGGCTATTACTTCCAACACGCAAACATTTTGTGTTTCGCATTGCTTCGAGAAACAAGGAAGTCGATTTCTGGGTATCCAAAATGTTGTGTGATATCATCGAAAGCTTTATCCGACAGGTTCCATTCGGTATAAGGGTTAATTTTCCGGGACTCTGCATCAGCGCAATTCTCTTTAGTATTCACAAAGGATGCAAAAAACCAAATATTTATTTTCTCACACCATTGTCCGATGCATCTAGTCAAATCATTAAGATGTGGAAATTGAATACCGCCCAGACGATTTATATAACTAATAGTCGTATTATTGTCAATACATAATAATATCGTGGAATTTTTCTCATCGCTAGCAAACCTTTTACGGCCTAAAAATGCTGCGAGGAGCGTAATTAATATGATGTTTTAATTCGTTTGTCCTCCAATTGCCACTAATCTTTTCCTCGTTACACACGCCGCCCCAGCCCGATCTGGATGCGTCTGTGAAAATTTCTTTCTTATGGTGTATGGTTCTCATTGGACACGAAGTTGTCAAAATGTTTTTAAGCCACCAGTTAAGGTCGTCTAGAATGCATTTAGGTAAATTTAGTTTAGTTTCATAATTATGGTTATATTGTTGTAATAAAATAAATTTTTGTCTCTAATATTTTTGTAAATATTAAATTGTAAATAAGAAACCAGTGGTGGTGGTGGAACCAGGTGTCAGTAAACTTAATATTACATTCTAATAGTCTTAGAGTCTCCTGTACGTTTGTTAGACATTCGTCATAGTTGTTCATTTTTCAGCTGTTCATTATCCAATACACAGCATGTCATCAAGATAGACCACAGGTTTGTGGCCTTGTTTTCGGAGATAGGCAATTACTTCCTCCATAATTTTCGTAAAGGCCCTAGGTGCCACCGAAAGGCCATATGGCATAGCATTAAGCTCATACGTGATTAATTTATCAGAAATGGGATCTCGAAAATTAAAACGTAAGTAGGTTAGATTCCACTATAGGTGCTAAAAGATAAGCTTCTTTTAAGTCTATGGTAGCTAAATACCTCCTTTGGGTATTGGTTTTACTGCCGTTCGGTAATCTTCCATCTTGAAGTGAGTTTTTTCCCCGAATTTATTTAATGGTTTAATATTTAAATTAACCTTTTTGCTACCATTAGGTTTAGGTGCTAGAAAGGTCATTGAAATAAATTGACCATGCGATGCGATGCAGCGCGATATAGCACCTAAATCTAGCAGTTTATTAATGGCTTCAAACATTTCGAAGCTTTCTATATATGCGAGATCACAATTTGGAGTTGATATTTGAATGACTGCCTTACAAAAAGGGATAGGATATCCGTTAGCGATCCATGAGAATACAGTGTTATTATTAGACATTTTAAACCAACAGTTTAGGTATGATTTAATGCGGCCTGCGTGTACCTGAGTTATTGTGGAGCTGCACATGGCCTGGACTGCTTGTGTGCTCTTGTTTGTATTTGAGCAGGGGGTCGATAAGCCCGGCGTGGTGGTGCTACCATTGCCGACTTCCGTTGACCTCCCCGCTGTTATAATCTTATGTTATCTGTATCCGGATCCTGTCGCTTTCGTTCGGACTGACAGATGTCAGACTGTACATTGTAAAAACCGCGCGCCGAATCACTACAATATCCTATTAATAAAATACTGGTAAAAGATATTAATGGTGTTTGTTGTTGCCCAGAACCCACAAGAAAACCGTTCTACAACACTGGCGACGAGAAAGAGTGTGGGCAACAAATTTAGTTAGTCGGTGGTGGATCTGTGTAAAACCATGTCGTTGTCGCCGCCATTAATGGCGCATGAGGCCGACGCTGTGATGCCACCAAATTTTATAGAATTTTACGACTCGAAATCAAAATTCAAAAGATGGGTCCCGCGTCTGGAAGGAGCGTTTAACCTCTATAAAATAAAACCGAAAAAAAAAAATTCGTATTTCTTGCATTACATAGGATCGGAATTGTATGACACCTTGTGCGATTTGGTCTCACCATCACAGCCTGAAACCAGGACATATGAAGAAAATATCGCATCGTTGACAAACTACATTGATCCAGTCCCGTTGGAGATTGCAGAATATTTCGCTTTCCATCACAGGGGTCAGCAAGAAGGTGAGACAATAAAAGAATATATGGCAGTGCTTAGGAGAATGGCGGCTGGCTGCAATTTCGGATCTTTCTTGGAAACCGCTTTAAGAAATCAGCTTGTTTGTGGCCTTACTTCGCAGAAGATCAAGGACAGGTTACTAGAGACAAGAAATTTAAATTTACTAACAGCGTTTGACATTGCAATAGGAATGGAGGTGAGTCAGGTGGAGAGTTGTAAAACTAGAGAAGTGAACATAGTTCAAATGAACATGAAGAGACGGCAGCCAGTTACACACAATTTACAGGCTAAAAATAGCTCGGTGCACAGTGCTCCTCCGAAACCATGTTATCGCTGTGGAGGGGATCACAGTGCAAGCAAGTGTACGTGGATAAATGCATCTTGTAACTACTGCCACAGAATTGGCCATATTAAGAAGATGTGCCTTAAGTTAAAAAATAGCCAAAAGGTTAATTTGGTGGATGTTGAAGAGTCGGAGCAAGATGTTGTTCAGTTTGTGAGTGAATCAGAGATAAAATATGTAGTGAATAATTGTTTAATTAGTAACACTGCAAAAGATAATGATAGTAGTAAATTTTTGGTATCAGTAAACTTTGGTAAAGTTAATTTGTACATGGAGCTGGACACAGGCTCAGCTGTATCTGTTATTAGCAAACAAGATTATACTAAAAAGTTTCCTGAACTAACCTTAATTAAGACAAATGTAAAATTGTGTACTTATTCTAACCATTATTTACATGTTTTAGGTCTAATTAAGGTCACTGCATCAGTGGGAACAGAGAAATGTGAAAACCTAAACCTATATGTAGTTGAAGGTACTAGGCTTCCACTACTTGGCCGGGAGTGGATTCGAGCATTCAAATGGACTAGTTTTGGAGACTGTTTAGCACCAGTTCACAGCATCGAGACAGGTAGTGTTTCGCTTTCATTGCAATCATTGTTAGACAAACATAGCAAACTTTTCCGTGATAATGGTTTAGGTGAAATAAAAGGTGACCCAGTGTCTTTACATTTGAAACCTGACTCTAAACCAATATTTTACCGAGCTAGGCCTGTACCTTTTGCGATTAAAGAAAAAGTTGAACAGGAAATAGACACTTTAGTAAAAGATGGGGTATTAATTAAGGTAGATTATTCAGAATATGCAACACCAGTAGTGCCAGTAGTGAAGGCAAATGGAAAAATAAGATTATGTGGAGATTACAAACTTACTTTGAACCAGCAGCTGATTGTTGATGAGCATCCGTTGCCAACTTCCGAAGAATTATTTAATGGTCTCGCAGGGGGTGAAAAATATTCCAAAATTGACTTGAAAAATGCTTATTTAAATTGGAAGGTAAGAGATGAAGATCAAAATTTACTCACCTTGAATACACATAAAGGGTTGTATAAGTGTACACGTCTCATGTTTGGTCTAAATTGTGCACCTGCAAAATGGCAACGAAAAATTGAAAATATTTTAGCTGGCATTCCAGGGGTACACTGTTTCATTGATGATATTAGAGTAACTGGATCCTCGGACAAAGAACACTTAGGAAGGTTAGACTTAGTATTGACGTCTTTCAGATTATGGGTTAAAGATAAATTTGGAAAAATCAGAATTCATGAGGGATGAGATAGAATATTGCGGTTATAAAATCAGCAAGAGAGGCCTACACAAGGCAGATCAGAAAATAAAAAGTGTTGTAAATGCTCTCACACCTAAAAGTGTATCAGAATTGCAGGCTTTACTTGGTTTAGTAAATTACTATGGGCGTTTCATTCCAAATTTAAGTGACATTCTAGAACCTTTGCATGAATTGTTGCGTAAAGGGAAGGAGTGGGTATGGACAGATAATTGTGGAAAATCATTAAACAAAATTAAAGAGCACATGATGTCAGACACTGTACTTGCGCACTACTCACCTGATTTACCCTTGATTGTGGCCACGGACGCATCGCCGACGGGGGTGGGAGCGGTACTCTCACACATAATGCCCGATGGTACAGAGCGTCCAGTTATGTTTGCATCGCAAACATTAAACACCACTCAACGGAAGTGGGCGCAGATAGACAAGGAAGCCTATTCAATCGTGTTTGGGGTAAAACGGTTCTTCCAATTTTTGTATGGTCGCAAGTTTATTTTGTTTACTGATCATAAACCACTAGTGCAAATTTTTTCACCATCAAAAGCACTACCTCACCTATCGGCAGCCCGTATGCAACATTATGCAATTTTCTTGCAGGGTTTTGATTATAGTATTAGATATAAAACTTCTAAAGAAATGCGAACGCGGATGCGCTATCCCGTTTGGCAGCATTTGACGAAGAACGTATTTCTCTAGAGGAAGCTGACATTTTTCAAATGAGCCTAATGAATGTTCTGCCGGTTACTGAACCCGACAATGCACAAGCGACCCTTGAGGACCCAACGCTCAAACGTTTGTTGGTTGGGTTAAAATCAGGTAAGAAAATTGCCCATTTGGAGAGGTTCGGAATAGATCAATCTGAGTTTAGTTTATATAAAGATTGCATCTTAAGAGGTTCACGTGTCCTTGTCCCTGAAAGGTTTAGACAGGTGGTTTTGAATGACCTCCATTCCGCTCATTTTGGCACAAGCAAAATGTTAGCTTTGGCACGCAGCTACTGTTGGTGGCCTGGCATAGACTAAGATGTACGGAACATGGTCAAGAACTGTGCGGAGTGCTGTCTTAATCAAAATAAACCTTCACCTGTTGCACCTAAACATGTTTGGGAGTTCCCTTCCAGACCTTTTGAACGAGTTCACGTTGATTTTGCGGGTCAGTTCTTAGGGGTTTATTTTTTGGTACTGGTTGATGCATACTCAAAATGGCCAGAAGTACACATAATGAATAAGATTGATACAGAGTCCACGTTAAAGGTATTGGAGCGAATTTTTTCTACTTTTGGATATCCAGATGTGTTAGTAAGTGATAATGGTTCTCAATTTGTGAATCCAAAATTTCAGGAATATTTAAAATGTCACAACATAATACACAAGCGGTCAGCTCCGTACAATCCAGCCACAAACGGCCAGGCTGAGCGTTATGTACAAATAATAAAAAATAAGTTAAGGTGTCTTAGAGCTAACAAGAATAAAATGCAGAAATGTTTAAATCAAATTTTATTTCAATACCGAATAATGCCTCACACAGCCACTGGGAAAACTCCTAGCGAATTAATATTCAATTTTTGTGTTAAATCAAATTTGTCAGCAATGTGCCGGCAGTCTAACAATGATGTAGAAAAAGCGAGAAAACTACATGTAGGTGATCGGGTAATTGCTCGCAACTACTCTGGCCAAGAGAGGTGGAAATTTGGTAGAATCAATAGGGTCCTAGGCTCTTTACATTATGAAATAATAATGGATAATGGCTTACTATGGCGTAGGCACATTGATCAGTTGAGAAAGATTGGAGAAAATGTTAGATTGGTACGAGATAATGATTGTATATCTCAGGACTGGGCCTTAGACAATAATTCAGAAAAAGTTTTGAATTCTCCGGGGTTGAGTGATACAGTTTCCTCGGAAGTTAAAGATAATGAAACGGAACATGGCAAAGGCCTGACGGCTGATATTTCTCATGAAGTTTCTAATCCTCAGGATATTCCTCATACAATCACTAGTGATGCTGCTACTACTACATCGACTTCGGTTGGTAATAATACTCATATACGTGACGTTCCTAATCACCCAGGTGTACGTAGAAGTAGCAGAATCAAGAAACCTGTTGTAAGACTTGATTTATAGTTATGAGTACTAACTTGGTTTTTCTTAAATGTTAAGGGGTTTTATTTTAAGGGGGGGAAAACTGTTATAATCTTATGTTATCTGTATCCGGATCCGGTCGCTTTCGTTCGGACTGACAGATGTCAGACTGTACATTGTAAAATCCGCGCGCCGAATCACTACAATATCCTATTAATAAAATACTGGTAAAAGATATTAATGGTGTTTGTTGTTGCCCAGAACCCACAAGAAAACCGTTCTACAACACCCGCACCCCTCTCTATTCGTAGGGTAACGACGAGGTCGAGTAACATGTGACTGCATAGGGTTGATTTGTCGTAGCCTTGATTTGTGCACTCTGTTTACTAATGGCAAAACTGGCTTTAATTCTTTCAGCCAAATGTTTACAAACAACGTCTCATCTCTTTCGGCGTCTTGAATCACTGTTAGGATTTTTTTTTTTTATTCCCAACCTTGAAACCAACTTACTTCTGTCTTTGGACAGTAAATAATGTAGGTCTGTTAAGAATCGACAACAGTCACATATTTGTGTTAGGGCCAAAACCTTATTGTTAGATTTCAATAATGTATCAATTCCTCTGCCAATAGCAGCAGTACCAACTCTGAGCTGCTGTTGGAATTTAAACAGTTTTTTATCTCATCCTCTTGCCATATCCGTCGCCGCAGCAGAAATTTCTGCGTTGAGCTTGGGTACTTGCAACATTGTACAGTTGCTAGGTGGAAGGTATTCCTTAACGAACTTATCTTTTTCCTCACTAGGAAGGCCTTTCTTCAATATCACATCATCACCTCACATCAACAGCCTTTACTAGTCCACTGCTGGACAGGCCTCTCCTTAGAAAGGAGGTTTTGGCCTCCTCCGGCCTTCAATACCGGCGTCCATAAATTTGCTACACTATCATGGACGTTAGTACCAAATTATGGTGTAGCAGATGTGGATGCACCCAAGGCAGATAATTCCAATGGAGGCTCCATGATAGGATCCATCGTATCTTGCTCGGGTTCATCAGCATTTTGCTTATAGCAACTGCTGCCATGATAACTATTTCGTGCTTATTTTTACCTTAGATAGGTAAATATGAGGGTATATTGATAATAACCTTGTATAGCGATTTTTTACATAAATAGATTAATCTTATGAAGACTGATTGTCCCGCAGACAATTTTAATAATGTAGTGCACGCCCATATCTATTTAGATTACGCGTAGTTTCTTCATTATGTTTAAACACATACGTGTCTCATGAGTAGCTCGCAGCTAAACATGTTGTCGTAGTTGACTCGCAGTCAATACGATTTGTTCGAATCTGTACGATCGAACGCGTTTTGCTGATACAGCAATCGAAATTATAATCACTTTTTTATAATTTACTTATTAATTATAATATCAATACGAAATAAACGTAACCACAGTGAAATAAGAGTAAAGTGAAAGATTTTTATAAGTTTCATGTACATACCTCCATTCTTGTCATTGTCTGACTCTATTACGCGTCGAATTCGACTATGATTATGATATTTCTTGCGTTTTTCTCTTTCTTCTATTTTCTTAATCTTTTCCCGGTAACTATTTAACTTTTCTTGTGCGCTGCGTTTCGGCATTTTTAAGGTGCGTTCGTTGCCTCGCACGAAAAAGGAATGAGCTCCACAGATCGGGCGCGGGTGGCCGGAGCGAATGACAGTTCTTATTTTTTTTAAATACGAAATCGATTCCTTAACTCGATTTTCTCTAAAAAAACGTGCGATGTTGCCTGTAGGTTAAAGGGACTACTTGGTATGGATTTATATTGTATCTGAAGAATGAAGCGACGAAATACCTATAAGTATTATTGTACGACTCTTAGGGATAAACTGTAAAAAATTAGGAAGCAATCCTATTGTTGTAAACAGAGTTACATTAGGTTTTTCGTCGAATCGGTCAATTTATCGTAAGTCATGTCTGATTTTTCATTTAATAATAAAAATTATAACTTTTATGCCAACGTAAAAGTAATTTGGTATTTTTGTATGATACTTAGGCATTAACTATACAAACTTTGAAAGCAATCCTATTTTTGTGAACAGAGTTATATCAGATTTTTCGTCGAATCATTCAATTTATCGTATGTCGTGTCTGAATGTTCATTTAATAATAAAAATTATAACTTTTCTGCCAACGTAAAACTTATTTAGTATTATTGTACGACTCTTACGGATAAACTATAAAAAATTAGGAAGCAATCCTATTGTTGTAAACAGAGTTACATCAGGTTTTTCGTCGAATCGGTCAATTTATCGTAAGTCATGTCTGATTGTTTATTTAATAATAAAGTTATAACTTTTCTGCCAACGTAAAACTTATTTAGTATTATTGTACGACTCTTAGAGATAAACTATAAAAAATTAGGAAGCAATCCTATTGTTGTAACAGAGTTACATTAGGTTTTTCGTCGAATCGGTCAATTTATCGTAAGTCGTGTCTGATTGTTCATTTAATAATAAAAATTGTAACTTTTCTGCCAGCGTAAAAGTAATGTGGTATTATTGTATGATGCTTAGGCATTAACTATACAAAATTTGAAAGCAATCCTATATTTGTGAACAGAGTTATATCTGATTTTTTGTCGAATCGTTCAATTTATCGTAAGTCGTGTCTGATTGTTCCTATAATAATAAAAATGATAACTTTTCTGCCAGCGTAAAAGTAATTTGGTATTATTGTATGATACTTAGAGATTAACTATACAAAATTAGAAAGAAATCCTATTTTTGTGAACAGAGTTATATCTGATTTTTTGTCGAATCGTTCAATTTATCGTAAGTCGTGTCTGATTGTTCATTTAATAATTAAAATTATAACTTTTCTGCCAGCGTAAAAGTAATGTTGTATTTTTGAATGATACTTAGGCATTAACTATACAAAATTTGAAAGCAATCCTATTGTTGTCAACGTTGTTTTCTGCCAACGTAAAACTTATTTAGTATTATTGTACGACTCTTAGGGAATCGTTCAATTTATCATAAGTCGTGTCTGATTGTTCATTTAACAATAAAAATTATAACTTTTCTGCCAGCGTAAAAGTAAATTGGTATTATTGTATGATACTTAGGGATTAACTATACAAAATTAGAAAGCAATCCTATTTTTATGAATCGAGTTACAGCAGGTTTTTGATCGAAATTCAGTATTTTTTGTTAGTTACGTACGTTTACTCGTTAATTGTGTTAATTCTATTTTTTCTGCCAACGTAAAACTTATTTAGTATTATTGTACGACTTTTAAAGATAAACTATAAAAAATTAGGAAGCAATCCTATTTTTGTAAACAGAGTTATATCAGATTTTTCGTCGAATCGTTCAATTTATCGTAAGTCGTGTCTGATTGTTCATTTAATAATAAAAATTATAACTTTTCTGCCAACGTAAAACTTATTTAGTATTATTGTACGACTCTTAGGGATAAACTATAAAAAATTAGGAAGCAATCCTATTGTTGTAAACAGAGTTACATCAGGTTTTTCGTCGAATCGGTCAATTTATCGTAAGTCATGTCTGATTGTTCATTTAATAATAAAAATTATAACTTTTCTGCCAACGTAAAAGTAATTTGGTATTATTGTATGATACTCAGGCGTTAACTGTACAAAATTTGAAAGTAATCCTATTTTTGTGAAAAATGTTAGGACAAATTTATCATGGAAAAACTCGAGTTTTCGCTTATAAACAGCGTTTATTCATTTAATATGATTATTTAAATATATTTTTTTAATCTGAAAAGGCCCTAGTTCATTGTATAGTAATTTGATGCAGGAAAATAACTGTTTGCTCTCTTTGTTGATTAAAAAAAACTCAATTTGAGGGGCGTGCCATATACTAAGCAGGCTAAGTCCGTCGGCTAGCTCCATCGGCTAGCTTCAGCTTCATGATTTATAGACTTGGTGAAGGAAGGGATAGAGGGAAGGAATTTTATCCTTAACTGCGCTTAACAGAACATCCCTTTCCAAGGTATTAAAATCGTTGCGGATATCGAGCTTCAAGACGACGCAACGAGAGTTTTTAGGGTCCATCACGTATGTCCGTGTGGCATGGATAGCCACCTCGCAACCTCGACGCGTGCCAAAGCCTAACTGGTGCGGTTGTAGATACTCGGCCATTTCCTCCCTGACTGAACAACAGGCCAGCTAGCAGTCAAACGGCGGAAAACGCTGCCTACAGCTATCGGCCTGAGTCCTCCATCCTTCTTATTTAAGGCACAAAGCGATGCCCCATACATAAAAGGACACACTTCAGGGTTTAACTGACCGCTAAGTAAGAAGTTACACAGCTTGGCCAGACTACCCATTAAACGTTACCCGTTTTCGCCCGCCGCCCTAGAAGTTAGTTCCTTTAGGTGCCCCGGACGAATGCCGTAAAAACCCGCCGCAGAACCACTATAAAAAGAGTTTAGCGCCTGAGCTACATCCTCTGGTGTAGCGGTAGCGAATGCGCATGACGCATCCGGCGCTGGCGGGGGGTTGAGTGGGCGCGACGGGCCGACGTGCTTAAGCTTCAATGCAGCCAGGGTCTCAGAACCCCCCTGAGCAAATTTGTCGTTCGACATCAACAGGCGGACGGCTCCCCTTAGGTCTCCCTCAATACCTTATTTTCAATAGTTTTTTGTATTGAACACGACCTGCGATTCGTTGGCGCGCCGTCACACTCATCTTCAAACTGCTAAAAGCCCGAGGAGTTGATATTCGCCTTTACCTTAGACGTCATATTACCCGGCAGAGACTTAGACGGCACCCTCCCCTCAATGCGCTAAAGGCAAAAGAAAGAAGCGCGAACCAGTCCTCTACACCATTACCGTACACGCATCCATCCATTATGCTGCTTAATTTGGCCGCGGCTAGGTTACGCGCAGCCTTAGGAATGTGCCGCATCACCGGAATGCTACTTTTGCAAGTGGCAAGCCTTTCCAGAGGGCACCGATGTTGGGGCACCACCCCCGGGCGCGGCCGTTGGCCGACATCAATAGAAGAC